TGGATTCCTGGCCTTTTGGTGCCTCTTCTGGCCTCTTCCGGGCCTCTTCTGGCCTCTTCCTGGCCTCTTCTGGCCTCTTCTTGGCCTCTTCTGGCCTCTTTTTGGCCTCTTCCTGGCCTGTTCTGGGCCTCTTCCGGGCCTCTTCTGGCTCCTGGCCTCTTCCGCTCGACCGCAGAAGCCTTGCGCGATTGGATTAAGACGCTGGGGCCCGAAGAACTCAAGCTACTTGAGAAAGCCCGCGATATGGGAGCCTCTTTGCCTACAGAAGGAGATCCCTCTGCTCAGCCCAGTGCCTCGCAGCCATCGCAGAACAACCCTGCGACTACGCCTGTTCCTGAGGAGACCGCTCATGTTCAGCCTACGCTTCAGGAATACTTAATTCAACAAGAATGGTATCCGGGCCAAGAAAGGGTTTTCTCCGGAGAGATGAATATTTTCTGCTTGCAGACTTTTCCTTCTCATCAATTCTATACAGTCGCTTTTGGGCGACGGTTTTCAAATTTTCGCTGAGATTTGAACGCGGAGTTTTATGCAAGATTTTCAGTACATCTGACGTTGAATCTTGTTTACTCCGAGTGGGCAGTGGGCATGCTGGCTCGCATGCAAAGCACTCAAATCGAGAAAAGCTCCCACCCAACCCGACCTGTGAACTTGAAACTATGTTCATGTTGAAAGGGGGGGTGTTTCGGGACGCATCCCAAAGCCATAGAATTGAGAGAAACCCCCTGAGATGCCTTGGCAGGACGACGATCTCACAGCGCAAGGAGCTGCCTCGTCCTCTCCCGGGGCGGAGCCTACTTCGGAGCCCACATCCTCGGGCACTGATCAGGAGCCCTGGCTTCTGCCTACTCCAGACCTACGCCTATACGGTGAGGCAACTGACCTTCAGACTATCAAGGGGCAGATTGCCAAAGGCCTAACTCCCGATTGCCTCTGTCGTGATGCTCAGCCTGGCCAACAACAGCGCCTCAACCGTCAAGAGCTTTGGGCGGCGCTTCAGCTCAAGCCTATCCATCGCCCCAGGGGGGAATGGACCTATTGGGATCTTCTCCCGGACGATGTCAGAGTCCCCCCAGCCTCTTTCTGCAACGAGTTGGTTGATGCCCCTAAGCAGCCACCCTCCGAGCGGACCCAGCCAAAAGAGAAGGCGCGACCGCCTAACCTGCTCCAAGCAGAGGCCAAATCCGGGGCTCAGCCTGCCAACCAAAGCCAACCAAAAGCCCAAGCAACCCCTAAGCCTCTTCAAAGCCCTCCGCCCAAGTCTAGCTCGGCGGGGTCGTGGGCGGATGCCACAGAGCAAGAGGAGGCGATGGCAGATACCTCAAAGCCTAAAGCATCCAAAGAGCCTAAGATTCAAGAAGATTCCACGAGTACGACCCAGCCCAAAGCCTCTAGCCAGCACGAGGAGAAGCCGTCTCCACCGCCTCAACAACATCTACGACCGCCTGAGTCTCAAAAGTTCCTGCCTACGGAGCCCGAACCCGCGTCCAAGGCCATGCCGTCGAAGCCTGCCCAAACCCAACAGCAACGGCCCATCAGACCAGCCTGGGTCATCCAACGACCGTGCAGCCGATCTATCAACAGCTGACCCAGCTGCTGTCTACAAGCCTATTGAGGATGTCGACACCGATGTCTTCGAGTTTCTCAGCCAACCGGGCTCGTTCACCAAGCCCTATTTATTCAACCAAGACCTATTGGGACAGAAGAGCCCAGCCTACGTGCGCAGAGTCATACACACGATGGAGCAGGTGTGAGCCTTTTGGCCGTTCCTGACCAAAGACGCCCAAAAATATATTGCCTGCTTCGAAACCCTAGCCCAACTAGCCCTTGACAGCCAGAGCCCATCATGGTCACTCTCGCCTCGGCATTTGCCTGCCCCCCAAAAGTGACAATACACCAACGGAGGGAGGCGTCAACAAGATGTTTCCCACGTCCTGGCCTCTACCAGAATTCCTGGGACTCATAGCCTCCTGGAGCTCAGCCAATGGCATCACCATACAGGTGTCCCATGTAGCAGGAGCAGAGGTCGCCTACAGGCTTTCGCACACCGAGGTCAAGATCGCTTTCGAGTGCCGCTCGAGATGCTAGCCTCGGCTACAGCCACAGCCTCTTGGTCCTCAAAGGATCGCAAAATAGTCTCTCCGCTACCTCCGGTGCAAGACCGCCTCGCCTCGGGCAAAAAGGAACCCGCTCTGCGTGCCTTCGATCATTTCCTGCGGGTCTAGCCCACTGGCCTGCACTAAGGACAGAGCACCGCCCGCGGTGGGGGATATCTGCATGCGCCTACTTCACCGTTGCTTCTGTCCCTAAAGGAGGCTAGGCCCCTCCTTCTAGCCCTAAGCCTAACCAGAAGCAACACGTCAAAAAGTGTGCGGCGAAGGGCCTAAGTGCTAGAGCAGTGCGACCAAGAGAACTTTGATATATGTAAAAATTCAATTGAATCAATTGTGAGATGTTGTGTGTGTTGTTCTTTTCAAAGTAGCTTGTTTGGGGAACTGCGGCTGTAGTGCTGAAGATTCCATCTGATGCTCGAGAGCTTTTGCTTCAATGTGCTCGGGGATTTGTGGGCATGCAAAATGCTATTAAGTATTTTTGAATTGAGTGCATTTTTCCAACCAGTGCAGCTGGGCATTGTCTGAAACGAGACGGTGCGAGCCAGATACAGTGAGGATTGATTTGTGCTGATTTGAAGTGTTGAGCCGTCAAACACACTGCCGGAGGAGAGGTGCGTTAATATTTGTTCGGTTACGAATGTTGGACCCGAAAAGGTGTAAACAACCAACCATTGAACATCATTCGATTGAACTTGCGTGTCAGCATACCAAACTGCCACATTGGTTTCCATTGAGTGACAGATTTGCAATGGCGTTGCTGGCCGATGCAGCTGGATTGCCAAATCCTCGCATCGAACTTGGGAAAAGGAGTGCAGATGTTGGAGGTTCCAATAGAGTAGTTTCATGCATTGGTTTCATTTTTTTACTCATTTTGTAACAAAATGTGCAGTCGTTCTTTGGCATGTGACATGACGGAGAAGGTCGGCATCCATCGTACAATGATTCTCGCATTCAAAGCGCTGTTTGTCAGAGGAGCTGGTGGGGAACCCAGATTTCCGACATTACCGTCAACGACGCTTGGTCGCAACCTGTACTAGAGTGACCGGCTCAGAGTCGGCAAGGCCACACCAAGGCAGCACCGTTTCAAGACGATGTGAGAAGTAGAGCTGATTTCTGCATTATGTTCATTGAGACCCGATACAACCCTGTAGATGTGTAGACGGGCGTGTGCCAGTTTCCGAGTTGTCAGATGATCACTGCGAGGTTGAGAACTTGGAAGACTCGGAAAGTCAACGGCTGGGGATCTTGGGGTGCTGCAGCCGGGCAGCGGGTGTTCTGCGAAATTGTTGCGTCTGCTGCACCGTCGCAGCAGCAAGGCACGAAGATGGCAGATTTTGGTTTTTGGCGAGTTGTTGTGCAGCACGTTTTGTTTAGGCAGTTTGCGGGACCGCTCAATTCTGATCCTCAAGGGAGTCAGCCCGAAACGGATTGATACAAGACGCACTCTGCGTACATGATTCGAGGTCCTGCTACCGGCGATCTGCTTGGTAATTGGCAGCGAGTTAGACACATCGACGTATAGGCTGGCTGTGATGGCTGTTGGACTTCTGTTATTGGCGATCTCTTGCTGCCTTTGCTGCTGTTCGCTGCGGCACACTTGTTGCGAGGGCATTTTCAATCTGCCCGAGCCAGCGCCGCTGGTACCCCCGCTGTCCAAGACTCCTGGTGCCAGGCTTGAAATCAAGAAGTTGCTGCTTGTGTACAATCCCAATGCTGGGAAGCGACAGGCAAAAAGGATTCTGGAGGAGATGGTGCTGCCAGGATTGCAACGGCGTGGAGTCGAGTGCACGACAATCGCCACTGAGAGTGTGGGGCATGCTCGTCATCTGGGTATGACGCTTCCACTAGCGAACTTCCAAGCCGTTGTGACGCTCGGGGGTGATGGCACTTTCCATGAGCTGGTGAATGGCATGTTCTCACGAGAAGATGGCAAGCAAATCCCGGTGAGCCTCATCCCTTTGGGGACCGGGAATGGCTTGTCGGCGACACTGCGACAGAACATGCAGCGACAGGGTGAGGAGGTGTCGGTCTGGTCAGAAATGGATGCGATACTGGACTGGTCTCTGGACAGGATATCCGCTGGCCACGTTGCTCGTGTCGACCTGCTGGAGGTGGAGGTCATGAACCGTCGGCTGCTGGCAGTGATGATGGTCTTTTTGGGGCTCTTTGCTGAGGTGGACGTAGTGGCTGAGCCGATGCGATGGCTCGGACCAGCACGCTTTGACATTGCAAGCATTCTCATGATTTTGAAGCAGCAGCCACAGACCCTCAGGAGCGCGGGCTTGCCGAAGATTGTGAGTTAGTAAGGTTCCCGAGGTGGCGCAGCCATGCCTAGCTCTGGGTACCTGTGAGGTGCAGACTCACCCTCGCGGACGGAACGGTGCGGGAGGACAGCCTGTCCACGATCGGAGCTTGCATGGGCTTGTGCCAGCACTTCTCAGACAAGCTCCGGTCTGTTCCGCAGGCAGTCCGGTGAAAGTTCTTGCTTCCCGAGCGCCTCTTCCTGAACGCTTTTTCCTGTTTTCGATCAAGTGTCGGTGTGATGTGTTGAGAGCAGAGTGGATCCTCCTTGCCGGAATTGCATCACAAGTTTACAAGATCAGAGGGATGTTCGTGCCGGGATGGGAGTCCTTCAGTGTTGGATCTGAAAACGTGTCTCAGCATGTCGAACAGGCGCAGCTCGATGATGGCTTAGCGGAGTTTTCTGTGACTGGTCTTGAAATTTGGCCAGGGTGGCTGTGGGCATTTGCTGTGGAGTGCTGGATTTGCCTTGTTTTGCGCAAGACGAACTTCCGCTCACAGTTCAGGTGCTTTCTTCTGGGGCAACAGTCGACAAGACCTTCGCAGGATTCTTGAAGCTGCCGAACGGTGCGCATACTGAAGACAAGGAGAGGGAGGGAGGGAGGCAACGAGTCGGTGCGAAGATTTGACTCGGCCACGAGACCCGAAGACAGAACTTGAGACAGAGAGAGAGAGAGAGAGAGAGAGAGAGAGAGCAAAAAACAACTCCTGCCATGCTTTGGCTGCGTGGTGGAAGAAGGTCCGGCCGTCCCCAGGTCAAGAGGTACAGTCAGGTAGACGATATCGTTGTCACCCGATCGTCGAACCTAGCCAGTCGTTTTCATGTCTCCGCAGGAGTTTAGGGCACGGTATGTTACGTGTTGCTGAATCACATGCAACCATTGTCACTTGCATTGAACTGGGCAAGATGTGCTGCTACTCATGCAGCAGCATATGGACTGCTGAGCTTCTCGTGTCTAGCCGAAGGCTTGTTGTTTCTTCGCAGAGTGACCTCTGGCGAGACCCATCACGTTTCCTCCACCCGCTAATTCATGTCCTTGCACCAGGATGTCTGGGACTCGAAGCAGGTCACCAGTGCCGAAATCATCTTTGAGGGGCCCGGCATTTTCAACGTTGATGGTGAGGCAGTGGTGCTACGGGAAACAACGAGAGACACACTAGGCGTCTCCCTCTCCCTCTTTCGCCCTACAGCTAGCATCTCCTGCGCTGGCTGTTAGGAATTACAGCCCCTTTAGACCTCGAAGCATAAACAAGCCAGAGGTTCTGGAGCATGATGGCCTGCTTCGCATCCGCGTTCTGCCTGCAGCGCTTCAACTGCTCGTGTGGTGGGCATGGTTGACACAGTGCAGTTTGGGAATCGAAGATTGCCAGGGCATTCTGCTCCAGGCTTCGATATTACGTCCTGCCAGAATTCAGCATCTCTTGCGAGCTTTACTGTTGAATGAAGCTCGACTCCAAAGAAATTCAAAGCCAACAGCCTTGAGTCACAAGCCCCGCCCAAAAAACGCACGCGCCGTCCTGATGTGGCCAGGTCGGCAAGGACGAAGTGGCCTCTGCCGGCCCGGCTGAGGAGGCTCTGGCAACTTCCAGAGTTCTAGGTCTATTTTGGGTTCAAGGGTTGAGGGTTTAGGGCCTTTAGGGTTTTTTGG